CTAGACATGCAGGGCAATACGTACTTTCCCAGCCAGGCATGAGCCTCTAAATCTGTGTTCAAGGAGACTGTGCTTCCCACACTAGTCTAAATTACCATCCAATGAAAGGAGAAGACTCAGATCAATCAGTGATAGTCTTTCTCTAGAGATTCTCTTAAAATAATCCAACTTCTAATTTCAAAGTTTCTATCCTTGCCAGGATGTCAGTGTAACTAGCCTCTTTATGCTCTGATGGTCAGATAGATGAAGAAATAAGATCATATCCAGGGACAAGGTGGCAACAAAGGAAAAAAAAAAGAGCTATTCATAGTCCACAGAAATATATCTAACATTTTGAATATTGATTTTGAATATTTTCTAGTTCCTTATTGGGAAGTGTAATACAATTTTTTGTATGCTATATCTGCCTTATTATAGATCTCATGGAAAGAAACCAGCCTTAAAAATTTATCCCAAGAGTTTCCAGAGGGTTGTTAGTTCAGGAACATCTCTCCTCCATGCCTTGCAGTGGAGGGTCACACCCCTGTTCACTCAGAGTTCTTGAGACTCTCCATTTATTTCGGAAAGAAGGACAGGGTGAGCTTATCTGGCTGAATAATCAAAAATACCCTTGTTTGATGGGATGAAAAGGAAGGAAAGCTATGGAAAGGAGTGATGGAGGCAAGCAAGCTGTCAATGCGTGAACACACCCCTACTAAGGCATGCCCAAAGACATCTGATCTTGTCCTCCATACGCTGAGTGTGAGTCATGACCTGGAAGCACACTATCTAGGGGGAGAAATACTCATCTTCTTCCAAGACATCCTTACAGTTTTAAAGGTAATGACCTCCAACTCCTGGCATCTGTGCAGGTAGAATTGAGAGAAGTTTTCAGCATATGTGACAGCTCAAGTGTGACAAAGGCTATCTGATACTTGTCAAATTCCTAGGATGTTAATTTCAGCCTAATTTTATGGGCTCATTGCATTTTGCTGCCCCAGTGCTATTTCTAGTTTTATTAAAAAATCCACAGAAGCAGTTGGATTATTAACCTTTGGATTCTCTCTATATTGAAGAGGAAATTTAAAAATAGAACATTGTATGAGCATAGTCAGAATGTAGAACAAATGAGTGGCTTCCTCTACCACTTTCATATAAAAAAATTGAGATTAGGTCAATCTTCTGTAGATCATGTAGTTGATAGAATATATAATCCAGTCAGTCCCAACTGTGAACAGCCAACATCTTGCATGAAAGTTGATTTCTTTCCTAAGGTCTCTGTCCACAGAAACCTCATGGGTCTTAAGAGACAGTCAGCTAGCTGTCCTTTTAATGTTACCACATTTGCATGTTGTGAACCACACAATTCCCCAAATACAAAGTTTATATCATGTTATTGGTTAAGAGTCTTGGAATGAATAAGAATCTTGGGGATTTTATGAATTGGCTTAAGTGTAGAATTAAAACTCTCTTAAACTCACTACTCTTAAGCAAAATATTGACCTGGAAGTGTTTAGTAGATTGCCCACTCCTTGGGAAGGGAAATGAACTGTGAAACTAAAATTCAGTGCCTTGGGCCAGGCATATAGCTAGGCGGCATAAGCACCTGCGAGGCAAGTGCAAGGTCCCAAATTTGATCCTTGGTAAAAAAAAAAAAAAAAGCAGTGCCTTTAACAGGGTGTCACTAGCTGAGGGGGATGCAAAACTGACACAACATGTGCCTCTCAGTCACATATAGCTGTGTGTCCAGCCTGAGTATGGGTGGGTTCCACTGCTCCTGGAGTTAAGGGTACTGTTAGTGAGCCTACAGGAGGAAGACATGCTGAGTCATGCTTCTCAAGATGCTTTTCTTATTACAGTGTTCTCAAAGCTGCCAAATTCTCTCTCTCTCTAGCTCCATATCCATCCTTCAAGTTATCTGTTTTTTGGAAAGGCTGAAAGGTATCCATCCATTCTTTTCAAATTCTATGAGCTTGGTCACACAGAATTTGTTTCAACTGTGTTGTAGATCTCTTTCTGAGGACAAAGTAGCTGACACGAATGAAGGCTCCTTTCTTTATTCAATCTACTCATTCAGTGCTGAAGATCCTATAGGCAAAATCTATAAAAGGTAATTAGGATCTTCTGGGCCCTCCATAATTCATAACTCCTGCTGCTTGGACATTCTCTTTCTCTTTCTCTCTCTCTGTCTTTGTCTGTCTGTCTGTCTGTCTGTCTGTCTGTCTGTCTGTCTGTCTGTCTGTCTGTCTCTCCCTCTTTCTCTCCCTCTCCCTATTTTTTTTCTTTTTCTTTTTTGAGACATGGTTTCATTATGCAATTCAGGCTGGCCTTGAACTCACTGAGGTTGCTTTAGATGGAGTGCCTGGAACAAACCGTTGTTAATCTTTATTGAGCTTGAATTTAAGTCATAAATGAAAGCTGTGCTCACAGTGCTGGATTTTGGAGAGGGACATCCTACATACATGATGTAGTTCCAGCTAGGAAAGACTGATGGAGATTCTGCTAAAGGTTTATTATTTATTTATTTATTTTTAATCACACTCTTCTAAGACAGCCAACTAGTGAAACAAGGCCATTAAGCCTCCGTAAGAGAGCAGACAAATCTGTCTTTCAGAAAAGGATATTTTACTGCATATTTTTAGTTTGTTCACTAAAATGAGACACAAAGTGAGCTGTTCAAATTGACATTTCTACCAGTTAGGCTTCAGCACTGGGTCCCTGAGAGGGCATCTTTAAGAGCACGGTGATATGGGCACCTTCTGTGACACCTCAAAGACATCCTCCTTAGAAGCCTGATATGGACAGCAGTGATTCCCCTGAGTATCCTCATCCATGTCACTCTTGGTCAATCTCGTAAGGACATGTGGGAGCTGACTGGAGCCAAGTGCACTGACTACACAGATTTTCTGTGAATAGAATTCCCCTAAAGTTCGTGAATTCTGTTTTTATCAGTTATATTTGAATGAAGAAAAAGTGTATAAGAAAGTGGTAGGAAAATTTTCTTGTTCAAAAGCAACTTGAAACTTTTCTATTCATGTAAGATCCTTTTGTCTTTGTCTATTATTTGTCTCATTTTGAATTAAAACAAATAAACAAACCACCACCTGACTTCACTTCTTCCTCTGAACCATCAGGAAAGGCATCCAAACCTTGCATGCCTATGGCGTAGGTGCCTTGATTTGATAGTAATGGTTCTTTCTTGATTTGTGGGGTTTGCATTGTGTTAGAATATGGTTTCCCTTTCATCAGCTGAATCTATCACAGGAGCTCCTGAGGGGGCTGATGCCTGGCAGGCCTACCCTGGGAAGACACACAGCACCTGGCAAGTTCAGAGCCTCTGGGAATAGGCTGAGCAAGGGCTGGTGGCATAGCGTGGCCGGACCAGGAAGGACATATGATTCTTACTCATCTCTAGACTGTTCTCCACTTACTGGAGGAGAGCGTTGGCCTCTCTCATCAAGCCCTAAAAATGACAGTCTTCCATTGTATTCTTAATTCCTTTCCTGTCCTCTTTCATTTTTCCCTTGCAAGAGATTCAAGGCATGTTGGCTTCATAGAAAAAAATGTCAGGGAGAAGTTGAAGGTGATTTTCCTCTGTGATTCAAGAGCCAGGGTCAGAAAGAGCTCCCTATGCCGGTTACTCTATAGAGTTTAACATGAATGGAATCACTGCTGCTTACTTAGCTGTCAAGAACTTCTTTTCCTTACCATCACATGTTTTGATAGCACCTATGTCTGGCTTTTACTCTCTGTGCCTCTCTGCCAAGGCCATGACAAAGGCAGCCAGTATGGAGTTTGGAAACTGCTTCTGAAGGGCGGTGGGAGAAGTCTAGCCTTAAGTCTCAGGAAGTGATGCAGAGTGGAGCTGCATGCCAGTGTGGCACTTCCCACTCATACAGAATCTGCACTGTGAAGGGTGCTCTGCCAAGTCACCTGTGCAAGCAGGTGGTCTGCCCCAAGGCTGTCCTTTCTCAGGTACTACTGCTTTTGTTGTGGGGGGAGGTAGGGTTTCTGTAGCTCCAGCAAGCCACAAGGAACTGACTGAAAGACAACAGAATAGGCCTCTCTCAATGGCTGCTGTTAACTCTTAATAGCTTATCTTCCAAGATAAAGTTTATGGTTATTTATAAGCTATTCACCTATACATAACTACATTTTATTTCCTTTTCATTATATAAACAACAATCATTGCCCACATCTAGGAAATACACAGTCTTAAGCTTCTCTAAAAGCAGTTGTGGTAGGTTTCAACGTTTTGGGCCAGAGAGACACTGTTAGAATATGGTACAACAGGATTGAAAAGGAGGACAATAATCAAAATAGTAACATGGAAGAACCAACACCTGAATTCTTCCAAGGCAACTGTCATGAAAGAACCTTTCTTTCTCATAACAAAGTTGTACATATCAAATTAGGAAGCCTGAAACATCACCCTTAAATTTCTTTTAAAATTTAAGGTATTTTTTCTTGTTTCATAGTGGAGTTTGGATTTCCTACAAGAAACAATTACCAAATATTCCTTAATATCCCCTTAAACAGCTTTTCATGGTCCCTGTGGCTTAGTAAGGGACTACTTACAGGAAGACTTGGAGCACTCACTGTGGGTCGGTAATGGCTGATACACTGTACCACGTGCCCTAGGACAAGTTCAGAAGTGTAAGCCACTTAGCGGGAGCCAGGGTCCTCACTATGTAAACATCCTCAGTCTGTGCAAAAGGAGGGTACTGAGATGGTGCGAGCCAGCGCTACACCCACCCTGGGGCGGCAGCCTGCACACACCCTGGCGGGGGTGGGGGGAGGCTTGCCCTTCCCTTTTTCTGTGCTCTCACTGCTTTTGCTGTCTTCTTCCACACTGGACCGCTGCCCTCTGCCATGTGCTGCTCTGCCTGGAGCCAGGTGATCATGGACCGACACCTCCACAGACTGAGCTAAATAAACCTTTCTTTCCTTAGTTTTGGGTGTTGGGTATTTTGTCTCAGCAATGAGAGAAAAGTAACCAACACTATGCCCTCAGAAAAAGCTGAGTAAAGCGAACATTTAATGAGAAATCTTTCACGCAATTCCTGCTGCACTGGGTTAGGAGAACCCAAGGTTCTCCTTCCGCAACACCATCATCTTCGTGGGTCTCCATCTTAGTTTGTGGCCATACTGGCTTCTTTCTGACACAATCTTTCTTTCTGTTAAGGGAAAAAGGAAACTATTGTTATTTTCATTGCTTTTGTCCTCAAATTTTGATACATTTCTAATTCTGGTCTAGAATGCTGAGTAGAATTATACCTAGGAATGTGCATACACCCTCCTTCTCCCAAACCTGCTGCCTGTTCTTCCTGTTAGCCCGTTACTCTCCGTCCCCCCAAAACAAGGAAACAAGACATGAGTGGCAAGCCAGGTACCCACGCCTCCCCATCCAGAACACTGATCTCCGCTGGGCCAGTCTGGTCTGTTTCAGTTGCCTCATTAGTGACAAAAGCTGTAATTTCATCTTATTCCGTAACTCCTCCCACCCCATCCTTGGCCAGCTCTTGGCACTAGGCAATGCTCAAGAAATAATTTTTAGCAAGTCTAGGTATGAAAAAGCAAACACAAAGCCCTGTGTCCCAATTGGGCGTATCTGCCAGTGTAGGACTCGGCACGAAGGAGCAAAGGCTACGTAAAATGAAGATGGCCAGGTTCTGCCTATGCAGAATGCCGCCGATGCTGCGCTCTGCTCTTCCTGTACTGCCTGTGAGGGGACAGCCTGCCCACAGGGAGGACATGGACCTTTGCTGAAGGGATGGACACAGAGAGCAAGGACTGGCGTTCTCACTGCCTCTATAACTCTACGGAAATAAACCAAGCCCATTGGGGGTAGGGGCATCTGCTCCACAGAGAGGGCAAACAGCCTGGAAGAGAAAAGGCAACAGGCACTCCTGCAGAAAGACCAGGCACAGAGAGGAAAATATGAGGATAGACCCTCAGCTGGTCGTGAGCCAGGAGCTGCAGTGCTGCAATAAATGTCTAAATTGGATTGGGTATAAACTGAGTTGGTGAGTTTTTACACACTTATCCTGACTTTGGGTTCATCCCTGTCTGTGAAATTGAATCGGAAATCAGTTTACAAGCTCTTCCCTAATCTGCCACGACCCTTACAAACAGACAACGCAACAGCCCTAACAGCCTTGGATCACAACTGGGGGCTTGATCACAGAGAAGCTTGGGTTACAAAAGGCATCACATTAAATTCACAGCTTCCACTTTGTCTACTAGGGTGACCCCATTTTCTCTGTCGCTCAGGAACAGGTTTGGCCATAAAAGTCAGGGTCAAGCCCCGTAAGTGACATAGTGAAAGGGTTAGAGGCTAATGAAGGAGGAAAATAAACAGCCAAATTGAGCCCATGGCCTGAAAATCATACCAATGAGTGTGATGAATGCAACCCCACCCGGGCACAGAGTGTCTATCCACACAGAGAAGGCAGCAGACACTGACCTGATGCAGCTCTACAGAACGAACACCTCCCTTTCTTGTTCAACTTCATGTAACTCATTTAGCTATAGATGTGGTTGTTACTAGAGACACTGTAGCAGTAATCTCATTTTATTATCTAAACTTCACTTGGATCTTCTAACAATTTCAAGCATCACCCCCCAAGGTGCTGCTTCCATCTAACAAAGTTAAATGGAAGGAAGAAGTATGTTATGAGATATAGTTAGAGAAGGTTGGGCTCAAAAAACTAAGTGAAGAGAGTGATAATACCATTCATTCTTGGGGTCATGCAAAGCTGCTGGATCTCACAATAACAAGGAAAACAGTTAGCACTTACTGCTCTTTCTCTGTGTAAGAGAGCGCAGTAAATGCTAAGAGGTACTTTATATGCACTTTTCTAGTTTCCTCAAAATAATCCTAAATCAAAGGCGTTATCTCCTTTGTTTTCATTCAAGAGAAAGAAGTGAAGTAACTTTTCTAGGGTTTCATGACAACTAAAGGGGCAAAGTTGGAAGTTAAATCAAGGCAGGGTCTTCTTTCCCAGTATCCTCAGTTCCTAACCATTTAGCTATTCTACTGTCTTGTGACACATAGGTGGAAATTCATCAGGATCCTTATTGAAAACTGTACTTTTGAGGACAACTTTCTCTCAATTTAGAATGACTGAATGGACTGTTGGGTTACTGCACAGGAATAGAGGTCAGGTGACCCAAATTCTGGTCCTCGTTTTTGGTAACCATTTGCCAAGTGCCACTAGGCAGGGTATGCTGTTCTGCAACTCAGCTTTCTCAGCTATCAGAACAGGATACCCTTCCCCTACCCTAAATGGGGGAAAGGAGATGATGACGGTAAATCCCCACATCTTAGGAGAGAAGTGCTTTCAGATAGGGAGAACTGTGGTGTAAGCGGAGTACGGAAGGACAAGAAATGTCAAGCGATGAAAGCTGGCTTATCAGAAATGACTTCTGTTGAGTTTTTAGGGAAACACATGAAGCCACGGTTTGCCCCTCTGTCCTCACGTACTGTCTTACTTTCCGGTACTCTGCATTGAGAGCTGAGCACTATATTTCATCCCAGAGTTTTATTCCTTACATTCAGACATTCTAGGAGCACCTCTGTTACAATGAAGAAGCTGGGGGATATGTTGAAAAATGCAGCTTACCAGACTAGCAGTCGGATTGATTTTTTTTGTTTCCACTTTCTTCTCTGATGTCAACTTGCTGACTAATGCTTGAGCCATTTTCAATCTGGAACAGAAATGGGGAGCAGGGAGAGGAAGCAGGAAAGGCAAGAATGAGGCAAAAGGAAGAAAAAGTGAGAAGTCAGGTCAAATAGGATTTCCACAGTATTTTGAAATTACAGTCACGCATCATTTCACAGTCATGATGTGTCTGGGAAATGCAGTGAGATCACTTTGTCACTGCAACTATCATGGAGTACACTTGCCCAGAACCTAAATGGCAGAGGCCACCAGAGGTCCAGGCTATAAGTCTCTACACGTCACCATACTGAACGCTGTACGTAAACGCAATCCATCAGCTATTTGTGTACTGAAATATGTCAAAGCACAGTAAAAGTACCAGGCAAAAGGAATGTTGTACGTCTATTCTAATCTTTCAGGATCACTGCTGTATCTGTTCTCTGCTGGTGAACAAAATGTTGCAATACCATACGTAACTATGTAAGAACAATTTCTCAAAGCTTTCCATTATTAAGCTCCACTCTAAGGAGGCATTAAGTCCCCTCTTTGGCTTTACCAAAACTAATTTTTTTCCACTATGTGAAATGCTCACCAAGATGACAACTATAAGGCTGCTTTTGTGAACAATATTCCTGATAAATGGAATGCTGTATATTCATAGCATTGTTCATATCAGTACTCTCGGCTTTGTTTCTTTCTCCGCAGATAATATTGAGACAATTTTTAACTGATAAGAACAGATACTACACTTGATCTTAGCCAAAAGACCGAGAAGTGATTTTTGAGACAATTTTTAAAAATGAAGTTTGGAAAAAAAAAATGAAGTTTGGAGCAAACATGTAGAATAGTCAATACATTGTGTCAACTTGAGAAGTTTAGAAGTTTAAGGGACTCAGCAGGGGGCCAGGGTCCTCACTTTGAAAACCTCTGGAGACTGTGCAAGAGGAGGGTGGGGAGGTGGTGAGAATGCTACTCCTGCCTGGGGGGTGAGTGAGCGTGGCTTGAAGGGTACAAAGGAGAAAAAGAGGCTTGTTTTCCCTGTTTTGTTCTTGCAGTTTTTGTTTTCTGCCACATTCAAGGGTTCCCCTGAGCCCTGTCATCCTGGCTTGGAGCCAGCTGATTATGGGCTGAAACCTTCACAGACTGTGAGCTAAACAAAACTTTTCTTCCTTAATTCTGGGTGTTGGACATTTTGTTTCAGCAATGAGAGAAAAATAACAAAGACAACATACTACAGACATTAAAATTCACTCATTCCCATCAAGTAAATGAAAAGACAACCTACAGAATGGGAAAAATTATGCTATCTTTCTGATAAAGGATTCATACACTGAATACATAAATAATCTCTATGACTCAAATAAAAAGACAAATTACTTTTCTCCTACAATAAACAAAAGACTTTAACAGACATTTCTTCAAAAATGAATAGATGCTGATTTCAACATGTAAAGTAACTGAATATCATCAGTCATCAGGGAAATGAGGTACACAAGGTGTTGGAAGTGAAGAAGTGAACAAATGGAACCTTTGAACTCCTGATAGGGCTGAAATTTCCTCAAAATGTTAAACACAGAATAATTATCTGTCATGGTTGAGGTCTAAAATGTCCCCCCCAAGTCTCGCTTTCATCAGGAAGGTTTCTGCAAGGTGAGTGGATCATGGAAGTGCTATACTCAGCAGTGGCTTGATTCATCGATAAATTCTGGACTGGTAGGAGGCGGGGCCTGCTGGAGAAGAGAATTCCCAAGGGGCACGCCCTTGGAGACTGGATCTCCCGTGCTGCACCTTCCTGGCTTTCTTCTTCCTGGCTGATGAAGGCTGAGCAATTTTTTTCCACCAAGCTGTACATGGCTTCCTTGGAGCCTGCCAAACACGGACTGAAACCTCTGGCACAGAGCACCAACATGAAGTCTTCCTCCTTCACATGTGCTGGGTGCTTTGTTCTAAGAACAGGAATACCAACTAATACAGAAGATTCACACTGGCAAAATGGGGTCATTATTGTGAGTGCGCCTTACCACATGTTTCAGAAGCCTTTGGCACTCGTTTGCAGAAGTAGTTTGGAAAGGTTTGGAGATGTCAATGAAAGAAGCCCTGGAATGCTATAAGAGTCTGCTGGACAATTCTGGCCAGAGCTCAGAAGATTAGAATGCTGACTTGGAATGTGGGCAGTAAAGGCAAGGCTGATGCAGTTTCAGGTATGTGTAAAGGTTCCAGCAGGAGGAAGAGGGCATTTGTTTTACCTTCTGGAAAAGAACTTGTATATTTGGTCCATATTAAGACTTTACATGAGACTAAATTTTAAGGTAGTGGGTTAAGTAATCTGGCAGAAGAAATTTTGAGGCAACCCAATGTTTATTCTGTAGCATAGGTACTTCTGGCTACTTTTAGCCAGATTTGCATTAAGTACTGGGCACAAAGGGCCAAAAGATTTGAAAAAAAATCAGTTTGGCTAGAAAAGAAGCATGTGTAAAGTGGAAGCTAAGAGAAGTTTAGTTGTGGAAGAGATTAGTGCCATTAAAAAGAAACTACCTACTCCGCCTGGCACACTGGGAAAGATGTCTTGAAAGCATCTGTGCAGTGGCACAAACTCAACCATCACAAACTCAGTGGTGTGAAAGTACATTTTTCTTTGAGACTTTGCCTTGAAAAGAGGGCCTCAGGGTGCTCTGATCACTCTAGGCAGTCTAGGGAGGTGCTACTCTGAGTTTAGCCAAATAAGTACCCAAGATACCAATGCATTCATTATCCAGAGGAGCTTGCTATTGCTTATGCTGGTGGTAGACTCTGACATTATAAACATGGTGTTGGTTTTACAGGTTCACAGAATGCAAGAGTTAGGGCTGGCCAAATAGCTCAGCAGATTAAAGCACCTGCAAGCAGGCGCAGGGGCCAGGAGTTCGATCTCTGGACCTGCCATGCCAGTCCCAAGCATGGGGTACGCTGAGATGGCAATTGAGACTGGGCGTGGTGGCGTGCATCTCTAATCCTAGCTCTTGGGAGGCTGTAAACAGGCAGATCACTATGAGTTTGTTCTAGTAGCGAGACCTTGAATACCCTGTAGAACCTTCCCTAAAATTAAAAAAAAAAAAAAAAGAATGCAAGAATTATGGAAGCAGGAAAAGTTCCATTTAGCTTTCAAAGGAAGACCAAAGAGGTGAAACAAAACTGTGTAACAAGGTTGAAGCTCCTGCTAGGATTCTCTGAGAGGATGAAGCACAAAGCTACAGGAGAGAAGCTGAAGCTGCAATATGCCAGGGAGTGGGAAATGACAGGAACTTGTGAGATCAGATGAAGAAAACTGGGGGCAGTGAGGAGAGCTAGTTCAAAATAGAACATTCCTAGGGCGCCGAGCAACAAGGTTATATGGCTGAGCTACCCCAAGTCCTTGGCGCACACATCATACCACCATGCATCCTGATACTTGACATAGAGCTTGCCTTACTTTTCTCATTGCTGAGACAAAATACTGGATACCCAAAGTTAAATGAGTAAAGGTCTGTTTAACTTACAGTTTGTAGAAGCTTCAGTCTACGATTGGCTGGCTGCAAGGCAAGGGTGGCGTGGTAGAGGGGTATTACAGAACAGCTGCAAGAGTCATAAGTGAGAACAAGCAACAAGACACATGCGTGGGTAGGGCCTCTCTTTCTGTCCCTCAAATCTTATTCAGCTACATGTTCTTAAGGCAGGTAGCATTCACACCCAGGGCAGGGTGTCCTTGTTCCTACTCATTCTTATCCCAGCATCACACACCCCAGATCTAGCCATCTCCAAAACGCCCCACCTGTGACGTCAAGAGGGCTTGGGAACATTTAGACACAAGCCACAGCAGGTTACAGAATTTGTTGTTTGCACTGTTGGGTTTTGGACTTACTTTGGATTGATTCCTTTCTATGTCCCCCTTCCTTCCTTTTGGGATGTCAGTATTTACTCCATGCCAATGCTATGTTGAAAGTATCCAACTCTCTTTTTGATTTTTACAGGTCCTCGTAGTTAAGAGTATGTTATAAGTCTGAGGAGACTTAAGTCTTGGACTTTTGAGCAATGCGGGAACTGTTAAGATTTTGCCAACTCTCAGAGATGAACTTGATGTATTTTATACCATGAGATAGACATGAACCTTCTTGGTGTCAGGGATAGAACATCAACAGTTTAAATTTAAAATGTTTCCCAGAAGTCTGTGCTCAGAGGTGGACTTTTGAAAGGTGACCAGGTCCTGAGGGTGACATGCTCATCCATTCAAGGAACAACTGCTGAATTCCCAGGTGGACATGCTGTGAAGGAAGTGGGCACCTGGGGCTGCCTTTGGAGGCTCCTCCTAGTCTCTCAGCTTCCTGCATGACAGGGGTTAGCAGCTTTCTTCTGCCCTTGAATTCTCCCCTAGAGCCACCTATCCAAGGACTGAAACCTCTGAGGCCATGAGCCAAAATGAGTCCTTCTTCCTTCAAGTTGTTTATATCAGGCCCTCTGTCCCAGCAACAAGAAAGTTAACACTCCACGTGACCCAGTAAAGTTCTACTCCCAAGCATACACATACACGTATAGGAAAATTAAAAACGTATGTCTATAGGAAATCTGCATACAAATACTTGCACTAACACTACTCATTAACATCAAATCTAGAAACAACTCAAATTTCCACCAACTGATGAATGGATAAACTGAACTAATGTACTGTACAATGGAACATTACTGGGGCATAAAAAGCAATGAAATGTTGCTATATGCTACAACACAGAGGACCTTAAAACATGTCAAGTGAAAGAAATCACTTCAAAGTGACCCACAAAAATGTTATAGGATTCTATTTGTTTCAAATGTTCTGAATAGGTTAAATCCATACAGATGCAAAGTAGGTTAGCAGTGTCATGGTCTGGGGTTTAGAAAAAATGTGGGTGACTGCTACTAGGTAAGGGATTACTCCTAAAATTGGATAGTGCGGTGGCTGTACAACCTTGAGATGATACTTATCAACATGAGCCTGTACATTTTATAAAAGGATGAATTGCATGTATCTCAGTGAAGCTGTTATAAAGATTGGCC